CCATCCTCCTCTGCAGATAGTCAAAGCTCGACCATCTCAAACGCGACGGCTCTAATCGCTATCTTGGCCCATACGAAAACCTACCATTAAGGATCTTGATGATGCGGTAAGAGCATCCATGACCACGCCTTCGATCCCGCCCCCTTCGCCATCCACCTCCTCGCCTGTCACGTCCGCCTACCCCAAATTAGACGGGGTCCTCTACCACTTCTACACCAAGACTGTAGCCCTCATATGCTCAGAGAGATTAGGAAACCAGACGGAGCCAGCCGGTACTGCTGAAGCTGTCAGCACACCGGCTGGGAGTGGCTCTGCCAGTGCGACAGATCGGCCGAGCGCAGCAAGCGGCGCCCCGCCGAGGCGCACAAGCAGATGGGTAAGCAGTAGCACACTTCGGATTGCATGGATGGTCTCCAAGCTGCGCGCTCGACTTGCTCTGACGTAGTCCCCTCTCCCGCTCAAAGTTCTCCATTGAGACGCCAGAGCAGACTCTTTTCAAGGAGGAGCTTCGCCTGTGGCGCCAACCCTCCACACTGATTCCTACGAGCATTCTTGATGATCTGCCCCTCGAGCGCTCCACCCTCCCTGCTTACGTGCCGGAGCTGATATTGGACGTCATCTTGGACCTCAATCTCGTGCCTGAGAATTCGTTCTTGAGGCAGTCAGGGGCCGACGCTGTCCTAGTCAAGCGTCCGGGCGATGTCAAGGCCGTGGTGCTGGAGAGATGGAGGCTGAGCTTCGAGTAAGTCTAACGCGAGTCCCCTTCCTGTATCTCTTGTCGGGGCTGAAACTCCTCGCATCGTCCATCTGGCACGTTTGCAGTGTACACACGGTACCTGCTCCTCCAGAGCTTTCCACAATCTACAACACATGTGTTGGCCACTTCCAGGAGATGGACGCCAAGCTGCGCAGCTTGCCGGCCTACGGGCTGACAGCAAAGTTGCGAGGCGGCGTTGACAGTCCGCTTCGCCTTGGACTCAGGCTAAGCGCTGGAGAAGTTGAAGAGGCCCCTTCGGTGCTTGGTCCGACAGCTGCGCTATCTGATTGGCCGCACAGACCTGGCTCTGTTACCTTCGCGCCTGTGACAACCGGGATAGGGTAAGTTGGCATGCTTTCGCTAAAGCCATGGAGGTTTTCCCACGTCCTAACCTCATTCTCTCGTATCAGCTCGCTTTCGCTCCGCGTTGAAACTCGCGCGGGATTCGATGTGGAAGTGGTGGAGCTTGACTCGGAGGCAAAGGGTCTCGACTTGGCCGACTTTGACGAGGGCTACTTTCGCCCTGTCGCTCCACAGGGTCAGCCCAGTGTAGCTCCTCAGAAGCTCAGTACCCCTTCACCCGCGACTCGCTCGCTACTTTCACGAGCCGCCGATCAGAAGGCAGCTGCAAGGAGCGGAGCTCAGCCATCCGCGAATACTTCTCCCGCCTCGCCTTCGCCTCCAACCATCCCTGCTGCCTCTGTTGAGAGTGCCTTGTCTCGATCACCTGCTCCTCAAACAAGCGCATTTGGGACTTCGGCCAGCAACAAACCTGTGGCAGGGCTTTCCAGTCTGCGTGGAGCCAGCGCGCTTAGCACCAGTCCCGCCAATACCAGAGCGCCTCTCTCAAGCGAGGCTGCGTTTTTGACGCACCAGCGCCGGCAAAGCAGCAGCGCTAGCGACCGCCGGTTGCGGACCCTTAGCAGCTATAGCTCAGAAAAGGTGGGTGGGTGCTGAGACGCATCGACACTGATTCAAATGGCTGACTCTCGCGAGTGATCTTGACTCTGCAGAGTAGCCCGCCGTCTCCTACTAGTGCAGCTTCTCCGCAGACCCTATCTCGGCCGGGTTTTGCGACGAGAGCCTCCGCGTTTCCTTCCTTCCGGATGGGATCGTACTCTCCGTCCTCTTCATCTCCTCTAGCGCAGCATATGACCGCACAGCAGCGCGGCCAACAGCCATCCAGTATTGACAGCGGATCGCTTGACCAGACTCAGATGAATCCCGGGGCATCCCCCACTCTGCGATCCGTCTTCCACGGGTACACTTCTTCACAAGGACCTGCCTACACCTTCTCCCCATTCTCGCGCTCTCTAGGCCGATCAGCGGGCGAGTCTGCCCTTGGTCTTGCCCGAACGGACGAGGCGCCACCTCGGACAGCCTTAACGAGCTACGATGAGAGAGCGCCCTCCACTTCGCCCGCTCTGAGTTCGACAGCTGCTCGACCGCAAATGATTCAGCGATACAGCTCTACGCTGAGCTACCGGCAGGGCAGACCTCGACGGAGCTCGGCTAGCCTGACCGGCGGAGAGCCGGGTGCGGCGCAAACACGCCCTGGCACGAGTGAAGATTCGAATTACTCCAGGAGTTGGCAAGCCCGCATCGACCAGCGTCAAGCATACGCTGCGGCATACCACCAGCCATCGAGCAACGATCCACGAAGCCTTGGCACCGCAGAATCTGAAAGCAAGATCGGCAGCTTTGCAATGGGAGCTGCGTCTCCACGGCCGTCACCGAGATATCGAGTGAGTACCCCTCTGTATTCCTAGGATCACGTGGTCAAACGACGCTGATAACAGTACATGATTGTCAGTCGTCGATCTCAGCCAGTCATGAAGACGACTTAGACGACCTTGTTCGCATGATTGAAAACCGCAACGCTATGCGGACAGAGCCAACGCAGTCCTCTACCACCGCCAAACCACCCTCAGGCGCTCTCGCCATGAGCCCCATCGGGCGCGCTAGCCCTGCTTTGGGTAGTGGCAGTCTATCTCGGCGACGGGGCTCCTTCCGCGCAGGAGGTAATTCAAGCCCTCTTTCGAGATCCCAAATCAACGAGATGCTAAATCGTATGGCTGCCTCTTTCGGAAGGCCTTCACCTGCCTCTGCAGCTACCACGGGATCGGGCGGATCTGCATCAGAAGGCAGCCCATCGCAAGCGATTGGAACCAGCGCTGAGGGCTCGCCATCGATTACTCGCAGTCCTCTCAGCGCACCACCTATGTCGGCTTCCAGCAAACCCATCCGTCCTTTCTACGACGGCGCAAACACCTCGCAGGCTCGCACAAGCTCGGAGGCATTCATCACAGCGACTGCGCCGATATTTGCGAGACCCAGGCCTGCAGGAGCGTTCTCTGCTCGACCGGTGCCATCCTACGATGCCGATTTAGCGATGGTTCCGAGTGGCGCTGCCCTCAATCGCGAGGGAAGCAGAAGCAGCCGTGGAAGAAGAGGTGGCGGTGGCGGTGGCAGTGGAAGCGGTACGAGTGGAGGCAGTGCCAGTGCCAGTGCGACCGCGAGCGCCAACGTTTCGGCCGCCATGCAAAGAGCAACCTCGTCAGAGGACACTCGCACTTCCCCTACCAGCCAAGCGCATCACGGTCTACAAGGCATGCACAGGCACTCACGTGGGTCCATCGATCTGCCCTTTCCCAGGTCATACGACGACGAGCCTATCGGCACGATGGATCTGGGAGGCGAACCAGCGGGCGAAGCCTATGCAAGAAATTCCGCGCAGGAAAACGAAGCCCTTGCTCACTTCCTGACACGCAGAAGAGGAGGCGGAAACGGGCAGACTCATACGCACGCCGCCCAGCCCACCTCTGGTGGATCCCATCGAGGACAGTTCTCTCGTCGTTCTGCATCCCGATCTGCGTCTCCTGGCGCTCGTAGTGACCAAGATCACGATGAACCGGTCTGACAGAATTCGAAGCTCTCACTGTAATCGCCCCATCTAACACACCGCTCAAATTTTTCCCATTGACCGCATGCATGTACATTAATAGATCATAAGTTCATTCGGCGCTCACCACAGA